CCCCCCCCCCTTCTTGTTGAAACGATTCATCACGAGAAGTCGATTATCGTTCAGGAAATTGCTCAACTGACACACTTTGTGCAATTTTAATCTCCTCCCCCTCTCATTTACCATAAAAAAAAAATGAACAGTGCATTGATTTTCAATGAAACTTATTCGCAATCATCAAATTACCCCAGACATGTTTCTACATGTTTCGCACACACTGATTTTTCCCTCCAATCATTAATTTGAAATAATTCTTGGACTCACGTTGCTGTTATTACCAAGCCAAGAATGCCTGGTGTCCGTGAATGCAATCATTATTCTCGATGAATCTCATTAGTACTGTTTTTTTTTTCTATTTTTATGGCAAACTGTGTTACAAGAAATACACATATATCAGCAATGCTGGCCTGACAGGCATCGTGTGATCAGTGGATAATAATGCCTGTTGTCAAGTATGATCGTGCAGACTCATTAATCCTTAACAAAACTGGGCGTGGTATTATTCGCGTTACAAAAAAAAACATTTCCCTCCACGGAGTTTGTTAGGGGAATAATAACTACAAATACTTTTAACAAGACTGATCTCCTTCCCACGATTGTGAACATTGTTCTTGGGTCGTTATTCATAGCGGGGTATTATTATTATTTTTTAGAGTTTTTTTTCTGTTGAACGCTGGATAGATGGGATGATTAACATGGAAATAAGAATAAAAAATTCAGTCATTCTGTTTAATTTCAGGGGCGAAATGAAGTCTTTTGGATTAAAATTTCTTGAACTATGTTTTTCATTTCTTAATGAAGACGAGGTGATTAATATCGATTTTTTTCATTAATTAATGTGGAAATAAAAAAAGAGTGGTGATTACTTCTGTTTTATTTCACTGTAAGAGTGAATTCGCCCGGAATTTCTGGTCAACTTTTCGACCAATATTTTTAAGTTCATAATCAAAACGAACATCTCCAAGAATTTTCTTTTCCGCTCGTTCATTTAATTTAATTCCACGAGATAGACTCGAACAGTTCCAGTGCAATCATTAAATATATTTGGTACGTGCCAGAAGTACGAACGGAAGGCTGCGACATGTTTTATTCAGTGCATCCATTACCCACCGCAACACCGATCACGTTTTTGCTTTCGTCCCATTCTTTCACACCTCTTAACTCCCTTTCTTATTCCAACCAACCACCACTAAAAGTATCTTCCACCTCTTTTTCTCGGTACAACTCATCTCACTCGTTTAAAAACCCCTCCCCTCCCTCCCCTCGACATCTCTAAAAACGAATTCGTATGAATAATTAAACCAGAACGTTCTCGCATTATGCATCGATCTCTCATCTCACTACTACGAACAGCCCATTGGTACACACTGTTTCAATTCCTGGGAACTTGTACATAATGGAACGTAGAATAATTTATCTCGATTCAAATATCGTTTTTTAATTCAAAAGAAGAATATCGAGAGAGACTGGGGAAAAAAACATACTAAACCGACTCATTTAAAATGCCATACGGAATTGATTAAAAACATTTCAGTTATTTCTATTTCCCTCTGACTCTTTGTCCCCCTCCTCCCCCGCCATTCAATCATGGGAAAAAAAAATAATAAAATACCGGTAGAAGGAATGAAAATAATTCAAATGGAATTGACAATGGAGTGCAAGGGACAATTGATTTTCTATCGTAAAAGTGGTGAAAAAGGAAAATTGAATTCAAGAGAAAAGGGAATAGAGGAGAAAAAAAAATCAAGTGAATTAAAGAAAACTTCATTTCTTCGGTAAAGTACATCGATCTCGAGTGAATGGAGAAATAAAGGAGTCGGAGGGGGGGGGGGAAATAATTTCTTTCGTCAGGACGAATGAAGCAAACGAATCAATCAAGGGAATTGTATATCTTCTGAATGAAATATTAAAGGCTTTCAGTGATTGAATAGAACCACTTAATTGCACTTCCATTTAACCGTCACTCTAACATTGAATAGTTCTTAAACCCTCACTGCATTATCCATAATTCTCAGCGTACTCTAACACCCCCCCCCCCCCCCTT